CTTTTCTCCCTCTCTCTCCCTCTCTGTCCCTCTCCCTCCCTCTCTCCCTCTCTCCCTCTCCCTCCTTCTCTCCCTCTCCCTCCTTTTCTCCCTCTCTCTCCCTCTCTGTCCCTCTCTCTCCCTCTCTCCCTCCCTCTTTCTCTCTGTATCTCAGGTATATCTAAGTTCCTTATAATGCACACATCACACTCTTCAATATAGATGAAACGTGATTTATGTATCCACCCAATCCACGTAATGATTGCAGCTCTGTTTTGGTCAGATTTTTCCTCTTAGAAGCTGAACTGCAGCGATAATCGTCCAGCTTGACCATGCACATGTGCAATTATTTTCCTAAGATTCTTCCTAAAAAGTGGGAGTTTTGGGTCATAAGTCGTGTGTATTTTAAAATTTGAATATCTGTGACCCAGTTGTGGTGCAGAGTAACTGTGCCAATTTCCATTCACACCCACAGGTTGTGAAATCGCCCACTTTCCCACATCCTCAGCAACTGTGGCTGTTGGGGGGGAAACTGCCCATACTGGCGCTTCTGGTCTCAGACTTTGTGTTTCTTCCCTCCTTACACCCTAAGTATTTTGTGGGCCATCGGACGTCTTGGCAACCATCACACTTAAAGCTGAATTATATTCCGTCAAATGGACGACTCCTAATTCATTTGACTACTGCCAGCTTGGTGGACGTGGAGTCAGTTTTATGTTTCTGAGAAGTCTCCTTGTTCCTTGTGGCCCGTCACTGGCTCAGCCGTGAGATTGAGAATTATCACTGCAGACTCGTTTGGTGTATTTTTGTCCAGCGTTCACTGATTCAGTGCATACTTCATTCCTCGGATAATGAGCCGCGTGGCACTGTGACTGAGGGACAGGGCTCTGGAGTTTGTCTGATTTCAGATACGGTCTTCTCTGCTTTCTCTGTGCCTTGGACAATCATTTTACCTTTCTGGCCTGAGATGTTCATTGTGAAATTATAACAGCCCCCACTCTCTCAGCAGTCGTTCCCCAACTTTGGCACACATCAGAATTTTGGGGAGAGCTTGTTACTTCACAGACGGCGGGCTCCGCACGTCCGTGTGTCTCAAGCAGCAGCAGTACGAGCATTTGTGATTCTAGCAGGTTCCTGGGTGATGCTGACCTTGCTGCCTGGGGATTCTGTTTTGAGAACCTGTCTTCTGGGGGTTCATTGTGAGTATTAAATGAGGCAACGCAGCACCATGCTAGCACTGGCCTCAGTAATTAGGTAATAACTTTCAGAGCCATGAGTGAAGTTCTTGGCCATTGTTAATAACAGCCAGTAGAGGCCGGCACCGCGGCTCAATAGGCTAATCCTCTGCCTACGGCGCCAGCACACCGGGTTCTAGTCCCGGTCGGGGCACCAGATTCTGTCCCGGTTGCCCTTCTTCCAGGCCAGCTCTCTGCTGTGGCCCGGGAGTGCAGTGGAGAATGGCCCAAGTCCTTGGGCCCTGCACCCAGTGGCCATGGCAGCCATTGGAGGGTGAACCAACGGCAAAGGAAGACCTTTCTCTCTGTCTGTCTCTCTCTCACTATCCACTCTGCCTGTCCAAAAAAAAAAATAACAGCCAGTAGATCATGTGAGTTTATGGCAGGAGAGTACAGGGTTGCTCTAAAATATCTGAACCTCTAGCAGTAGAGGTCAGGTTTCTCTCTGCACTGGGGCTGGAGGGGTGTGTGTGTGTGTGTGTGTGTGTGTGTGTTAGACAGCATACTTATTTACAATTAACACACACCTGAGAAAGGAACTCTTCAATTGAGAAATCATGGTCCTGTGACAGCTTCCCTTCCTCTCTTCTTCACCTCCTTAATAATCCTGTTTCTACATCGCCTTTACAGCATTTTAAATAATTGTCCAAATACCAGGAAGAAACTTAGGTAAATCAATGTGAGACCCGCGAGCCTCTTGGAGAGTGGGATCGCTGCCAGCCCTGAGACAAGAACGGGCTAATGAATTCCTTCTTCCTTTCATGAGGTGTGCCCTGCAGCTGGAATACTCAGAAATGTGAGGTTTTGATGGAAATGTAACTCAATTGTAGGGCAATTGGAATATGCACAGGAGAAGGAATTTGGGCAGGATAATTGGTAAAATATTCAGATCCCTTTCCAGTGGCCACCCTGGTTTCCGTTTTTTAAAATGAAAACCCTGCTGTTGTAGAAATTCTGTTTGTGCCATTTGCAGAAATTAAACCTTTAAATGCAGCAAGTTTGTAACTGTGATTTCAGCCCCCAGAGAAACACGCATCAAAGGCAGTAAGTTGGCATCCACTGCCTGGTGTTTAGCCAGGCATCTCTGCACCCACAGAGGACCCATGGTGCCATACAGGGTGTAAGGCTGGGAAAGAGTACAGGAATCTCTGTTTAACCCCTCAACCCCGACACGCCCTGTGTGCCACACTCACCCCAGGAGGGTGTGAGCCACGTGCCCTTAGCCACAGCTGGAGGAAGCCCAAAGAAGCCCGTGGAGAACAAAGCTCATAGGGATCTCTGGGTTTCCACCCTCCACGCTCCCTCCCTGCACGTACAGACCTGGTGCAAGCCCCTGGCACGTTCAGAGGAGTTAGGAAATGGCTTCAGTCCTTGGGGACCACACACTGCCAGGAAGATGGGGGAAACTTGTCGAGAGACACAGTCAGGTAACAAGAATTCTTCTGCTCAACACTGACCCAAAAACACACACACACACACACACACACACACACAAGCAACAAAAATAAACCAGGAGTGCAGAATCTGATAAAATGCCCAGCCCAGCACTCGCCATGGAGAAGGAAGACTGACATGGCACATTTGTTTCAACATTTTAAAGGCAGTAAAACATTCATGATAATGTAGAAGTCCTGCTCGGACCTCTCCCCCGTCCCACCTTCCTCCCCTGGTCCCTGGAGGGAAAACACTGGGAGGCATTTGGTATTCATCCAGATCCATGGACATGTCTTTCTACTTAAAGTTTCAATGCATGCAGAACTTTAACAAGTTTGTGGACATTGTGCATGGTCTGGAACAATTTTTAAATCTTTTATTTATTTGAAAGAGAGGGAGAGAATAAAACCCACTGCACCCCAGTGTGTACAATAGCAGGAAGCCAGAGTGAGAAGACGGAACTGGGAACTGAACCCAGGCACTCCGGTATGGGACATGGGCTTCCCAGCTGGCATCTTAATTCCCAAACCAAATGCCTGCTCTGCCTGATATTTTAATTCCATTCCCCATGAACTTTTTGAAGTACCCTCGTGTGCAACCACATACCCAATACACAGTTTTTTTTTTCCCTAAATTTGAAAGGCAGAGTTTCTGAGAGGGAGGCAGGGACACACACACACCCCTCCCATCCTCTGGTTGGGTCATCTGCTGCTGCTCTCGGGGGTACATTAGCAAGGTGCTGGCCCAGAAGTGGAGCAGCCCTGGGTGTGGTTCTCAGCCGTCACAGTGGGACCCCAGGTCCCCTCAGTGACACCTTCAGGTATGAATTCAGCTGAAGCTTCGTTTGCATCCTTCGTGATTTGCATGCTACAGCAAATGAATGAAGG